AGTCCCTTTATCACAAATAAAATATAGCTAAGAGCCATTTAGCCACACCCTTAGGCCATACAAATTCTTCACATGTGTGTGCATCGAACGAAACTGAGTTGTTAATGAAATCATTCAGACGGAGTTAAGATATGTTCGCGTTAGAAAAAATATATATGGCTCTTGATACCGATGGTTTTTCAAATCGATAAAGACTAGGAAACCTGTAATAATCTGGCTTTTGTATCGGTGTCATTTGTTTACTTTTGTTGGAAAGAGGAGCTCCCTCCTCGAAAACGACTTTAAGAAGGTCGGTTACTCAGGCCAGTAAACTAATATCGATGAACCAAATGTTTTTCATATTTCCTATAGATTAATCAGACAACGACATGATTTTTTTATATATATGTCGAAAGAGACAGGAACAGTGTTTCTGGAACGCGCGGTTTGTTTGAAGTATAGATCCGAAAGCGTATTCTGATGTACGACGTGGCGATATTTTCATATCATAAAGATCCTAACCCAATTTTTTTGCGTCTAAAAAGGAACATGTCGAAAAACTGAAAGATATTTTTAGATATTTTTATGAAGGTGCAAACGCTACATGCAAAAAACAATATTTGTTTAATAGTGGGCATTCAAACTGGGCTAATATTAGTTTACGCTGGGACAAATCCGAGTCAACTGGAAATCATTTTAAGGGAAATATTAACTTAAAATAGCGATTGAGCGATAATAGGGAAAATATATTCTCGCGGTTCTGTTGTGAATAATTATATCTGTTTTCAGTATTTTGTCTACCAGCTGCACTGTAAAAACAGACCAGTTATGGTAACTATATTAAAAGGTTATAACCAGTTGCAAAAGGTAATATTAACCTAAAATAAACTAGTCAAAATCGTAACCTTCATGTTATTGGTTAGATCAACCAATGATCAGCAGTTGTTGTGACGGTTATAATTCTGTTAGAATATCGACTGGTCAAAATAACTTTTCATGGCAGTCAAAATAACGAAACCAAATGGTTAAGCAAATAGTAAAAATGTGCATCTAACCTGAAATTAATTGGTTAAAATCTTTTATTAACTATTTGTTGGTCATGACAAACCAATAATGATCCGTTATTTAGAGCTATGAAGTAGGTTAAACACTGAATGGTCAAAACTGACTTTTCCGAGGGGTTAAACTGAAGGGAAAACCACCGAAGGAAATGGCTACACAAACGGCGGGTATGAGTTTACAACAACAGATCATAAAAGCCTTGTACCCAACCTTCAACGCAGACTTTTCCCTTACGCTGAAGAAAGAACAAATAATCAGCATTTATTATGGGATTTAGGATAGGTTAAGATTGAATAGCCAAATCAACTTTCCCCAACAGTTAAAATATTTTAAATGACTTGCATCCAACTCGCGTCTTGCTTCAATGACTGGGCTGGTACGCGCGCGCGAGAGGCGAAGTCGCGTGACGCGAGGACTATTTTCTTCTCTGACGTTTCCCTCGACGGACTAGCCGAGAGAACTAATCGTCATC